AAGACCTCGTTCAAAGAAATCAGCAAAAAATCCAAAGAAATTACAGGAATAGAAGCCATAGAAAAGGAAACCAATGTCAATATACTAAATTCATGTATTCCCTTTGTTTACACAAAAAAAACCATAGAATCAAGCAAAAAAATCATCCCTATAAAATGATACAAATCTTACCAGAACTCTGTGTTTCCTTTGATTCCAGTCAAATCAGACCTAGAGACTGAAGAATCAAAATGCAATTTGAATGATTTCTCGTCTCTGCAAACCATTATATTTAATTATGCGTTCTTTGAGTGCAGCTTACAACTTTATGTGACAAGAATCACGGTCATTCTTCTTTGTTCAATAAAAAGTATTAAGATAAGTATTAAGTTGAAGTTCAAGGTAACCCACCTCTTGTTAAAAAGCCCAAAAGGGACATCATCGTCTACCACTATCAGAAATTATGTGCATGAACAAAACAAGCAACCAATATACTATATAATACATAAAACTGCTAACTAATACACAATGTGGTAACTAATTAGTATTAAGTTGATGCTCAGGTTTGAATTCATGACCTATTTAAATAAGGTAAAAGGGACAATTGATTGTACAAGTACAACTAAGGAGTCTTGACCCCACATTGATGGAACCTATGGTCATAAGTGTCTCACAACTAGTCAATGAATGGAGAGTGACGAAGTTAGTGGATGGAGAGTGAAGCTAGTGGGATCAGCCCTAGGTTGGGAGGCCCTAGTAACTATGTACCAAATCCATATATCAATATATATAAGTCTCTCGCATCAAGTCAACAGATGGAGAGTGATGAAGTTAGTGGGACCAGCACCTGGATCATGTCATTTTCAGTTAGATCCTCTCTAGGTCTCTCCATCATCATCCATTCATTGATTGGAAGATAATGACACTTATGACCACAGGTTTTCTATTCTCATATGCTATGCCCTGGGTACCAAGGGAAAGTAGAACATCACATATATTTTCTGACATAAAAAGAGGGTCAGGGAAACTATTATACAAGGAAGCAGAAAAACATAATAATAATGATCTATTATGCTATCACATACAAAAATGACACACTGGCAAGATGCCACGTGAAAATCGACAATGGCAATTTTTGGAAATGAAAAACCTATAAAAGAGGACAAAAAGGATACAACAAACATTGATAGTTAAAACATCAATAAATTAGAAAATCAACTGTTTGCT